AATAGCAATCACTCTGTGAAACTAAACCATTTAATAGGAAATGATCCTTTCCAGTAATATTTTGGCCATCCTAATAGAATTGCTTTATTAGAAATATTTTATCAAATTTGACAAGGTGATAACAAAAGGCTATAGAAAAGTACTCAGCTTTGTTATAGCCTATAGTACTTTCCCATAAAGGTTAATATATAATTAAATAATTAATAATTAAATGGCAATACTTCTGCTGAGAGTATTCAAACCTTATAGTCCTGCCCTTTCCAGATGAATCCTTCATTTTACATTATGTCCTACTCCACTCTTCTGTGGTTTTCCCCATCAACAAGCTACATTTGCAGAAATTTAGGGATATCTTCTCTTTCCTCTACTGGCTACTCTACAGTAAAATACAAAATAAAATCTACTGATCAAGACAATTTGAAAGCTGTCAACATATTTTGTTCCCTAACTATACATCCAAATCATTTCAAAAGTATTGTAGTCTTCTCCTGGAGCTGATAAGCCATTTAAAATGCATTATTCTGGTGACAGACAAGCTGGCATTTGCTACAAGCATTTTTATGATTCAGTAGTTTTCAGAGAGACTAGAAAACTAAGTAGCAGATTTACAGTATAACAAAATAAAAGCAGAGATCTCATCTGCCTGATGAACGACTAAAGCAGCTTTCATCTCCAGATTTTCAGACAGTGTGCCTGGAGGTGGAGAACTTATTGTTTAGGATGTGATAATGGTGCCCTCAGGCACTGCTGAAGACTGTACACAGGCAGGGGTTATAGACACTGATAACTGTGGCAGTTTCCATCTAAGCAAGTGCAATAAAAGAAAAAGGAGACCCAAGGAAATGAGAAGTGCTGTATGTATGTATATGAGCCCCAGCAGCCGTGCCTGGCTGGCTGCTCTGGGCAGCCTGTTGGCTCTTTGGTAAGGGTCCCACAGCAAATGTGGGGAGTTCTCAGACAGAAATTAATTCAAGGGCAACTGCAGTTGAAAGGCCATTGCATACGTAGAATTTGGCATCAAGGGACAGGCAGGTAGAGTATTCCTGGCTGCCTTATTCCTTAGCAAACAGATATTAATGTCTCCTCCTTGGCCAAGCAGTGAGTCAGTGGTAGAGATGAAGGTGGAGCTCTGGCATCTTGACTTCCATTCTTCACACCTGACCAGAAATCATGACAGCTGTCCTTACCCATGCATTTGAAAAGGACACAACCACTAACACGTTGAGTGCCTCTCTTGGCTCCAAGGGCCACACTCAGCCCACCTTCCACTAAGGGTTAACCAGGCTGCTGTGAGCCAAATGCCCTAGATGGTGAGAGAGGGATGGAAAATTCATACTATCCCAGCATCCTCTTATTCTGCCTCCCCATCACCTCCAATCTTTAATCTCCCTCTGCTAGGGATTAGAATGATAGATTCATAAAATCATTACAGTTGGAAAAGATCTTTAAGATCATCAAGTCCAACCAGTTTCTTACACAGCCTATCAAAATCCCCACAAAAATCAGTTCCCTCCCCTACAAATGGCCATAAGGACATGAGGCACAGTAAGATCTGGACTATAAACTAAGCCTTCTGAGGCCAGTGGGAATACTGGGCAAAACCAGCAACTGCATTTTCTATGCACAGACTTTTTGCTGCTTTCCACATGTTTTTTAAACCATGAGTGATAGCAGCTTTCAAAGATTTGTCCTATGTTTGAACCTTGTTCACAGTCACCCACTTGCTTAGCTGTGAACACGATTTTAACAAAGCCATTTCAACCTCTTAGTTAATTTGTTTCTGAGTCCTTTCTCTTCCAGAGTGTATAATTAAACTAAAAGAGCCTGGAAAAACCCCTCACAGTAAATAATTTACAAGTTCCTCCCTGGGGACATTTTTTAATTATAACTCCACTGGTCAGATCTTACTGAATACTTGGAGATAGCATTCCCTGCTGAGATCCTGAAATATAATTAACTTATTCTTTTGGTAATGGTGTTTCTCCTTAGTCTATCTGTTTCTTATGCAGGGCAGGCAGATTTGTTTATAAACAAAGTGGAGATTGATAGACGCTTTGTCATGAGAACAGCAATCACGGCAGTCGCTGCACCAGACGGGGGCACGTCCATCTGAGGAAAGATGATACTGTTTTGAAGCAATTTTTATAAATCCTACCCTGACAATCCAGCATGGAGAGATAGAAGAGACAGCCCTGATTCCTCTCCATCTTGGCAGCCTGCCTTGCTCCCCGAGTGCCACTTCATGCATAGCAAACGTAAATAATCCTGACGCACCCACCACCCCCCGAACCTTTGTGCTTCAGGAACACTGCTATATACTATCAAACTGACAGTGATTTCATGTTATGTGGCAAACAGAAAAACCCTGAGCGACAGCAGCAAGGCTGGGGATGTCAAATGAAAGCTGTCACATTTATTTAGCTCCGTGATTCTCAAGACAATATACATAAATATTGTTTTACTGTCCCCATCAGCCGAATGTTAAGAGCTATCTGCATCAGCCAGGGTCCTGCAGCTCCCCTAGCCTGGCTGATGAGCCTGTGATGATCAACTCCTGACTCAGGAGGGGCTGCTAAGAAACAAAACACCAGCTCCTCTTGTTCCCAATGATACAGTACATTAAATAGTCTCCTCATCCTTTCCCACTGCAGCTGTAGCCAAAAGGGCAGTTTGGAGTGAAACTGCAAGAGAATGGCTCCACGATGTATTGAAAAGTGATCTGAGACATAAGAAGTCTGGGGACACTCATTGCCTCAAGTCCTGAAAGCCTTCAAAGCTCACTTGTTTTTGCTACACCAATTAATTCCGGCAACTCCAGTGAGCCCACGAGGACAAAGCTTGGTGTGTACTGTGGCTGTGCTGGACCAGGGGCTCTATTTTGCATCCAAACATGCTTTTTACTTCCCCCTCCTATTTTGACCTCTCACACAACAAACCCAAGTCCTTGTCTCTCTCTAAGCCCCTTGTTTCTGTACAGCTGTTAGTGCTGGCTCTGAAGCCTCTTCTGCATATGCCATCCTGTTTGTACACAGTTGTTCACCTGTAACATCTGCAGTGAAATACCTACAAGCCAAGTAGCCCTTATTCTAGTGAATAAATCAAAGCTCAAGCAGCAAGATTAAAAGCCAATTCAAAGGGCCACAAAGTGTTGGACTTAGTATATGCATTTTAAACATCTATCAGAGGCAGGATCCAGGTTTCTGCTGTGACAAGTACTGGCTTCAGTGTGGCTTTGTTGATGTCAATGGCAGGCCATGCCATATGGCACAGTGCTGAGCCTAATGTGGTAGGTGAACTCAAACAGCCTTGCAGACAAACCTAGGAACAGGTCTGACACGCAAAACCTGCTCCATCTTTTTGTTTTGTTGTTCTCTGTATGCCAACAAAAGTTCAGAAATGAACATGGGATTAAAATACTGCCACGGCAGGGATTGTGAAAAAAAATGTTAATTTTTCTCATCATATTTATTCCTCAAAGGTCTGGAACGGTAAGAGTTCATCTCCCTCCTGTAAGGCAGTACAGCTGGGAGCACTGCAAAGCTGAGAGGAGCTGGAGGATGCTCCACCACATGCACAGCACCAGTACTGTCACTTCAATTTCTGCTTGCACAACCCTTTGTGCACCCATGAACACACCTTACCCTGAATCTTACACTTGGTGGAGTGAAACTTTGGTAAAGAATGGATGGAAGGCCAAGTCTGCTCACTATTGTTTCCCTAAACTGTCCATATTGCAAACTGCTACCAGCTGTCTTGCTCAGGTTGCAGCTTTCCTGCACACACTGGTGGGATGCCCAGCAGGCCAACACTGATGGGATCTTCAGCTCAGCCAGATGGACCTTGGTTAACACAAGATGGGCAAACACCAGGGAGCACAGGCCAGAGAGACCTCAGTTGCTAAACTTATGTCTACCCCAGAGCAAGAGGGTTTAACCAGTTACTGTATTAGCAAAATGTAAATAAAACTGAATACAAACATTCTGAGCTGAAAAGGTTACTAAGTACCTTAGCATGGATTTGTTCACAAAAACAGCGTCGAGGAAGTCTTAAGGTCATTCTGCTCTGCAGCTGGTCCTTGAGAATTCATGGATTTTTTAATGACACAGAGTAGTCTGGTGAAAATAAACTCACTGATTTATTGATTGAGTGAAGAGTTAAACATGCACAGAAAAGGTGAAGCTGCATTGAAGAAGGAACAGAAAATTCTGACAGTTTGATTGATCCTTATTGGAAATATTGTTTGCTATTATTATGAGGACAGTGTGCAGAGGAAACTCACTGCCTTCTTACTGATTTCCATGATGGTCTGGAGAACTGGAGAACAACCAACCTTCCACTCCAAAATTTCTTCATTTCCATAAAACCTGCTCTCTGCAATGGTTAGCATCTCTTTATCACTTAACACAGCACCTACATTTCACATTGTATTTTGGGACATCATGAACCCTCCATGTACAAAATTAGAGAACTTAAGAGTCATTTGGAATATTATATTACCAAAAAAGAGCTGTTTCTCTCCAGAGGGAAAACTCACTGACCACATTTTAGACTACATTACAATCTTGTATTCAGATAAAGGGAAGAACCATATAACAAAGTTATGGAAAACAACTTTCTTTTATTAACAGGTACTCCGTTTAAGACAACTGCAAGGAGCCAAGTAAACAGTCAAAATTGTTGTACACTAAAATTAATTAAGGCTTTTTTCCAATCACCTTTTTTTAACACTTTAGGACTTTTTCTGGCAATGCTTTGTTTTGCTGATGGATGCCCACAAGGAATTCAAGGACTAAGAACTTTTACCACAACAAGTATCTAATTCCAGAATGCATCAAGAACTGTCATTAGCAGACAGGTCGTTTTTAAACTGGAATAATAATACTGTTAAGCACCAAGAAGCTTGTTCCTCAAAAATATTATGAGGAGAAATGGTTCTTACTATAATAAACCGTCACACATTCTTGTTTCTATTGATTCTAGAATCAGAATTCACATCACACATTTGCTAATTAGAAGTAAATCAGCACAATCCTCATTAGTATTACCACACTCATGCTGGTTTGGTTTATTTGTTCAAACACATATAATGTATTTTATTGTTCCCAGAGTCATATATGACAATTAAAAAACCCTGATTGATGGCTCTGCCGTCTTTGGTTGGTCACTCTGAAGGTGGGTTGGTATCAAGACCCTTTCAGCAGTCTTCATAAAGGATTTCATCTATTGAAATATCATTTTCTGTCACAGGCACCGATTCACAAATCTGTTCCTTAAAAGCCAAGGCAATCGTGTAAGGCTTTCCACGGGGGTGTTTCATACATCTTTCAAGATAGGTATCGTAATATCCTTTCCCTCTTCCCAATCTGTTGCCTTTTTTGTCAAACCCAAGGCCTGGCATGAAGATAAGGTCAAGACCACCTGTAAAAAAATGAAATAAACATTAGTGCATGTCCTATGGATTTCCTGATGGCTTGAGGACAACCACATTAACTTCAGATATTTGCAAAAACACAAGCTTTGTGTTTTGCAAAATGCTTCCCTCTCTTTGATCAGATGGAAAATAACTTTGAATACTAAACCTGTAAATTTACATTTTCATCTTATCAACTGCATACTAGATCAGCTGCAAAATAATTAGATCTTGAAAAGCTAGAAGGAAAAAAAACTCCTACATTTTAACAAATTTATTTTATCATTTTAACCCCACGTTTCCAAATAGTAATGATTGTGACTCTAAATCCAGGCAGAGACTGAACTCAGGGAAATTAAATGCAGGAGGAATCAGAAAATCAAATGAACTTCAACATCAGACACAAAAATAGAAAATGAAAATAGAAAATGAAAAGATGTGTAAGAGAGAGAGAGGACATCTTGACACCACTGCAAGATGTCATGAACCTTCTCTCAACCTCCCAAAACCAGAGAGTCTTGAATGCAATATATTCTGAAAGTGGGTATTTGCCCTCCTATATCAAGATCCAGATTTGAAGGCTTGTCTCTTGGTGATGTCAGGTTCCTTTTCTCCCAAAGGACTTTCTTCCTCGGCCTCCAGCCATTTTCACTGCTGTTCCAGCAGCACACACAGACATTCTGCTGCAATTTCACTTCACTGGAACTCAAAACCAGTTAAAAACCTGAAACAAGCTCTGCTAATCACCTGGACAAAACCAGCCCAATCAGTTGGTAAAAGCCTGACAGGAAGAATCCACCAACTAACTCCAGGTAAAATGGCAAGATCAGCTAATCCCTTTTATCTTGCTTTGTTCATACTCTGTGAATGGATGTGGATCGGCACCGCGCCAGGGAGTCACAGCTACAATTTACACTCGGCTGCCCACTTGTTTCAGGAGTTGATTCACACTGCTGCCAGGTAGGCAAAGGAAACAGGCTGCCACGCTGAGTGACCACCAGGCATGGAGGCTGCCAGCATGCAGATCTCCATTACTTATGCAAGGCTTGTGCATTCAATGTGAGAAGTCTTGCAAGGATATCCTCCAAACAAATGAGCTTGGCTGGCCTGGTGCTGACCACTGAACTCAAGAACATCCCATTTACTAGTTTCACAATGCAAAGAAAAGTCTTTTATTTCTTCATGCTGTAGCAGACAGACACTTAAGGAGAGAAGGGCAGGGAGTGGAAAGCCAGCACAGACTAAAAGACAGCTGACACGAGTCTGGAAAAAAAGCAAATACTCTGTCTCAGTCCACTGCTTCTTCCTTCTTACAGGAACAGTACTTAGCCTTGAGCAGCCTTTCTGTAACTAGCTGATGGTACTATACCAGGGCTAGGACCTCTCAAGTATTTTTCTGCTTTTTCTACATCCAAACTTACTCTCTCCTGCCATTTTGGACTTAACTACTCTTACTAGACCTGACTGAGGAATGATGCCCACCATTCAAGGACATGTGTGGGATCATGTACTGGAAAAGCCAGAGCTAAGCAGAGTTTTTCAGTTTACAGGGAATGCCATCTGAGATTGTGTATCGACTCCAAACTCAGCCTAGAAGAGCAAGTTAACAGTACACATAAGACCAACTCATTTGCACACACTTCCCAGGCTCCTGGAGATCTCCTTCCAAACTTCATCATTCAAAGAAGAGTCACTGATGTGAACACTCATCCATCATGACCTGATGACTTAATTAGAACACCGATATAAAATATGCCAGGCAACACAGTGGAAAATGCTTTGAGAACATCAATCTTGCAAATCCAGCATCATATAGCCAAGAAGCACAGCTTTTCCTAGGAGGTCAGGGGAGTAAGAGGAGAGAGTTAGCCAAAGGGCAGACCAGAGGATATTAGCAGTTGAAATGAAAGAGTCTGAGTGTTTTACCATGCTGCAGTCAACTTTTGACTTATAGGACAGTGAAATGGCAAACAAAGAGAAAAAGAGGCCCGAAGGCAGAAGTATGGTCTCCTCAGAAAACAGATGCTATTTTCATGGTATCACCATGGACAACATGTTGGATGTCATGTCTCATCTCAGTTTGCAAGTAAAAAATTTCATTTGCCAATTGTCAGGCCTGTGGAACCTAGAAATCAGCTGCCCATTAGCATGGCCAGTACTAGATTCTGCAGGTCATATCCTCCCTGAGTTACTCCTACTCCTCCTGCTCCTACTTATCCTCTCCGAAATCTGCCTCATAAGCCTTGCATAGGTATTCAGGTTTCCCAGAAATCAGTAAGTACCAAACACTAATGCTGCACAAAAATAAACACACTCTGCCTTACACTGTTTTAGCTGTTTTCACACCAGGTGGGTCTCATGACAAAAAAGCAGGAAACATTTGCAGTTGCTACTGCTGGCAGGAAGAATGCACACGGGGGGCAAATCTGCAGAGTAAAAAGGTGCCATTTCTCCTTACATTTGTGTTGCAGACAGGAAGAAGACAAGTTAGGGGGAACACTATGGCAAGAGGGAAATGGCAAAAACAGTGAAGGGAATAAATATATTTTTTGTGGAGTTTAACTGATAGCACCAGGCACACTTGAGTGAATTTAGATGTATTAAAGCACCGTGTTCTCTTCTGGGTTCTCTAGAGAAACAGAGACTCTTCTAACGAGTGAGCTCCTCTATATCATGGGGCTTTTATGCTGAAGAAGTCAAACAATCTTGTGCAAATCTCAGTATGAAAAATTATGCTGTGAATCCTCTAATAGTTACCCTTATATTTTTCTTCTACTGGAGCACTGTGATACCGACTGCCTTTGCTCTGACTCACAATATGCTGTCTGATATCCATGCAACTCACACTGCACAAGATCTAAGTAAAATGTCAAGCAAGACTATTGGTAGAAAAATGACACAGCTAACCCTTGTAAGGAGCCCAAGGGCAGTTCAAGCAGCATTAGCTCCAAATCCTACATTGGAATCTACAATAAATGGCACACAGCTACTTGGAGCAAACACTTCCCCACCACATAACTTGGGGAGCAACAAAGCCTCTTGTGGTGGCTGTGGCAGTGTGGGGGAAGAGCTGTCACAGGAAGAGAGGTCACACACAGATAAGACCAAGATTGTAGATGCAGATGAGACCAAGATTGCAGACACATAAGATTACTATCAGCATCAGCAATGAGGGTACATCAACAGGATGGCAGATGAGGGTAAGAACATCTTGTCCCACTTGGCATGGGATCCTCATGCTCCCAAGGTCTTCAAGCCCTGCAGGCTTGTTCTGTCCTCACATCCTAATCCCATTGCTCCCATGGACCACTCTGTGAAACGGCATCCTTTTCCCTGAGAAGATAGAGCAGGTACTTGGGCATCAAAGACTGCATCAGGTTTTGGCACCTCGTAAGACATGCTAAGGGAAGTCTCACATTTGCCACCTACTTCTGTCTGTCTCCTTGTATTGTACCCTGTCCCCCACATGTCCAGAGTTGTTAACTGGTGGTTCTTGGATCCCCAAGGATCCTGTGAACACATTCCAGGAACCCAGGAAAACACATCCACAATCAAGAGGGTTTTGCTATAGGTAATCTGTTCTACTGGAAAACTTGCTTGTGGTCTGCAAATTGCTAAAGGCTGAAAACACAGTCTCAAGCAACAGTGTATTGCTCCGGCTTCTATGTATATATCAATGCTTCTTACACACTTTAAGCTACTGGGTATGCCAGTAAGGTTGGTAATTAGGATGACAGTCACCTAATACTCTCTGTATCTATGACATGAGCTCTTGTAGCCACAGCTCCTTCAACTGTGTAGCACCATGCGTGAAATAATATACCCTGACTTATCTATCAATGTGGGCATACAGCCATGCTGACACGGCCACACAGGCTTCATTTCTACTGCTAAATGCAGCACAGCCAGAAAACAAATTGATTTACAGGATCACAGCTGGTCAATACTTTAATTGTCAGCACACTGTCTGGCACTGCCAGTGCAGGTGACACCCATGACTGCTCCAGGGGACAGGATTGCCATGAGCAGTAAAGACAGAAGGGTACAGGTCTGGCTCCTTCAACACTGTGCAGTTCTCCCACACCAACAAACCTGGTTTTACTCCTCCAGACACAGACACAGGTTTTCCTGCCACATGCCAGAATACGCAACACAAGTCCCCAAACTGATGCTACTAACATACTGCTCTGATGGTCTGCCATAAGACCTGATATTATGCAAATACTAGAAACTGGGGAAAGATAAAAACAAAGACCACAGAAGTATCACATGAGGCCAGAAAAGAAGAGAGGGCAAGTTCTGTCTAGTGTGGACAGGACTCATCTGTGCCGCTTAGCCCTGTGTTATTTAGCACTCTAGATGAAGTCATAGCTCCTGAACCTGCCGTGTGGGTGTGCAGGCACACTGGGCTTGCACTGACTTGCATACACTGATGTAGACATACCTTATGTCACAGAGAAGTGATATGACTTGGCCAAGGACTCTGGAAGTGTGTGGCAAAACTACATGCAGGAGCCAGGTGTGCAATCTGTGTGTCCCCAGACTTAACCAGCAGAGCAGATCATTAGCATCTCCTCTCTGGTGTTTTAAATAGGAATACACAGTTTTGCTTCCCCTAGGCAGCCGCAGTGAACCTCCTCTGTTTGGCAGTGCATTTCTCATTACCTTTCATGATGATATCAGGTTTGATTTGTTCCCCAGGGAAGGATTTTCTCCTTTCACCTCATTACATCTCTACTCCTTAATCTGATGTTCCTGTTTGAAATGCCAGACGGCATTTTCAGAAGTGTTCTTGACAATGGTTAATTATAGAAGAGTCCATCAAACTGCACAGATACAGGTCATGTAAAGACTGCTGGGGACTCGTTCTGCCCTCAGAAGGAGCAGCCAGCATGGCCTCTTTCCTCCCAGGTTCGAGGAGGCTCCACCAGCCTGCTGCCCCCCCTCGTGTGGGGTCACTCATCTCCCCCTGCACAGCTTGACAGCCCTAACGGAAGCTGAAACTGAA